TATTTTACATAATTTTAAGTCGTTATAGGTACAAAAAAATTATTTTTATCGACTTCATTTTTTAAGTTCTTAAATAATGGTAACATATACATTTAAAATTTTATATTTTGAAGTAAAACATTATTCGGTTTTTAAAAAGTACAATTTCTGACGAGTAGTTTATTAGTTATAAGTATTTAATTTATACGTTTTGACGAGAGGAGTAGTGGACCAATATTTTGCGAATTATCCTTGTACCACTCCACTCATCAGCTTTAAATACTTAACTAATTCATAAATTAAAAAATTAAATTTTTATGGATTGAAGTTCTCCAAAAAACATTTTACTTTGGAATAAGGAGTCAACAGTACACGTTGTCTTTAAAAAAGTAAAATATTTAAAGAATTCTAACAATGATATATAACATTAAAAAAAAATGTTTATAGTTTTTGAAATAATGAGTGTCTTAAACCACTCTTACATTAAAATATCACGGTTTTAGATGTACAATTTATCTACAGCCATTGAACTACAACATTGCGTTAAATGGATCACCCGGTATATTCTGTCATAGGACAACATATTACATACTCGGGTCGAATGCTATCATTTCGTTATCGTCGAATTATATTATTATCATTATTACTTTTGATATTTCCCGTTGGCCGCGCGGCGTATTAGTTTCTTTTCTGTGACATTCACGTGCGTCACAAACTCGATCGGGTCAGTCGGTTTCCTTGTTTCCTATCCCGGCCAGAGGGTTTATTTTTTCGATAAATAATTTTTTATCAACGACTCAAAACACCTATTACATTTCACCCATCGCCCATCGCCGGTGTCCGATAGGCCATAGGCTACTCATTTGTCATTTTCCATTTTTGCCCCGGTTGTCCGCCAGCAGCTACGGCTCCGCGAGTTTGAGTCAAAGTCAAAGTGACTTCTGTCTTCCGTGACAGATCCCCATTCCCTGGTGCCCGGAGGCTGGACTGACTGACTCTACCAGATTACCAAGTACCAGTTACCACCCACCCATTATAAACGCGTTTCTATACCATTCTCATTATTTACTAGTTATTACTATTAAGTATTTAGTATTCAGTATTCAGTTTTATTATTGTTGTTGTCATTGTTGATAACGGCGTTAATATTCGATACTCGTTTCGGCGGACGTTGCGCACATCGCTGCCTCTTACGTAATAAAATTATTGTTTTAAAACGTATTTTGTTCACTTCTCTCTTAGACCGTAGTGATAACACGTTGTAACTCGTCTGTTTTGTAGTCGTACCGTAGCGAGTATATTTTAGTATTTACGGCGAGCACAATAATAGTATAATTTATCGCTCGTCGTCGGTCGATCGATTGCCGACGACTATTATCGAGTGAACGTAGTGTACGGTTTTCAGATTTTCTGGCCGGTCGACGGAGCTTCTCAATTAATCGCAACAGGTACGTTTTTCGTCTATTCCAATATAAATTATAATATTATTATGGTGTACATTTTTTTTGTTCTGATGTTGAACATGACCACACACGGTATTTACTCGAAATTCCGGAGAATCGTGTTTGTGACGTTAGTTATGACGTAGATTCAATTAAACCTAACAATTTTTTTGAAACCCTTTATTCTAGACCTCCACTGAATGACCGTAGAAATTGCTAGGAGATGATCGAGGAGATAATTAACAGCCGTTGTTGAGATTTTAGTTTATTTTTTGATCACCATAGGTTGGTTATGTCGGTTATGACCCAAAATATTGCAACCCAAAGCGGGAAAGCAATACAATATTATAAGCTACGATGCCTGTGATTTGGTTATTTCTTAATGTTTGAAAAGATAATTCATTATTCTTCATTATAAGTTCATTATCCTTTATAATGAACTACAATTTATGACTTTAAAAAATAACTACTCAGCCTTGTTAATTTATGTGGTTTTTTTTGTTAGTTACCATGTACATTAGATATGTATATGGTCAATACAATTTACATCAATTTACTAGTATAGGTAGTTATAATCATAGATATAGTAGTAAAAAATAGTTCATATTATTATGTCAAATATTTTTCTATAGGTTTAAGTAATTATTTAATAAAATGACAACTTGCTTGAAAAATGTGATCATAAAAGAGGTCACAAATTATCAGTGTTAGATAATTATTTATGAATATTACATTGTTCTTTTTTACGTTTAACAAATTGATTATTGATTAAATTATTACCTCAATTAATACACTAAAAAAATATACACAGAATTTTCTTAGAAACAATGTTTTTCTAAATAATCATTTGAGGTCATCTTGAATTCCCACTTAGGCTTTTGTTATATATTTTAGGTAAGTAAATATTCATTAATGTCTTTTTACAAACTTATGTTTGTTTACTAAAATCTTATATGCATTATATTGTAAGTAATTAATTGTCTGATTATCTTCACTATGTTAAAATTTAAATTGAAAAAATAAATAGTTCTTAGACTAACTTTAGTTATTTACTATCAAATGAACTATGGTTATTAGTTTATCCAGACATTGTAAATAATTTAGTATATATAATTTTGTTTGATGTAGTTTTTAGTTAAAGTATATCACTGCATTTATTTATATTACAACTTGAGATTAAAACAATAAGTACCAGTATAATATATATAAGATGTTACTTGTCTTATTCTCTCAAATCATTATTAGGTGTACAACTCAACAGTTTCTTATGAAAATTACTTGACTAGCTAGGCACTCACAAAAATTATTATTGTTATTATTTTGATTAAATAGTCCAACAATTTTTTTTGTTCTGTAGGTACCTTGCAGGGTTTAAATTATAATAGTTAATTATTAATTACTCATTTGTTTTTCTGACATTGTTTGATTGTTTTTAAGTTTTAATTTCAAAGAATTCTTTTGTCACTGATATAGTATGATATTTAATCTGCCTAGAACAGTAAAATACAACTAATTGATTATTGGTTTCATTTGCCTTGATTTTTCTGCACTGAGTGCTTTTAGAGATGATTTTGTAGTATAATAAATATGAACAAGAATTCTGTGTAATATGTGTAGCGTATGAAACATTTTGTTATATTGTACTGAACGATTATTACATTAAATAATTTATTTGCTTTTCTTCAATTAAAATATAAGAAGTAGTTTTATTTATAATCTTTTACCAACGATATTCAAATTATGACAACATTATGATGACCATTAGAATTATTTACAACGTAATTAATACAAATATTACTAATGTAGTAATATTAATTATTATTTTAATTTGTATTAAATATAATACATTTAAGTACTTTTCAAAAAAATATCTAAATTTAGTTTAAATTATTATGTGAATGAATTATTAGGATGCCTAGTTAATAGCAATAATAAGAAATACTATATCCAATTTTTATTTTAAAAATACATTTGATTAACTTTAACCTTATTATAATTTTAATGATATCAAAAGCTACAAAATGTTAAAAAACGATAAAGAAAAATTAAAAAATGTACTATAAATGTCTATAATCTTAAATGTCTTCTCATTTTTTTATTTTTGATCACCCTTATGAAAAATAAGTTTTTATATGAAACGTCCAGTATTAATTGTTTTGATAATATAAAAAATAGTTTAGATAACTGTTAGTAAATAATATACCATGCCATAAGAAAAAGAGAGGAATTCACCCCTCCCTCTCACTTAGAAACTGCTTACAACTACCACAGGTCTAATAGTCAAACCTGAATGTTAGGTATAATATCAACTAATGTATAAGAAATGTAACCAGTAAGTCTTGATTTATATTTTATCTAACCAGAGAAAATTTCTTCTTTACACAGCTCCACTACATTTTGGTGATTTAAGTTATTTAGGATACATGCTTATGTTTATGTTTATGTTTAATAATATTTTAATGCTTAATTATTTATAATATATTTAAAATTTATAAATACATCAATAGTTGTTTAATTATTATATTAGACAATACATTTGATACTAAAATTAAAATTAAATGTTATACGTTTACAATAAAAAAATATATTTAGTACTATGATTATTATTTTTTTCCTCCTTCTGTGCCATGGATCCCACTACAAATATGCATGAATTGTTGCAACAAACAGTTAAAATACCTCTGAACTAGGAGCTAATAACATTTTAATTTAATTCATTTCATTTTTAAATTGTTGATGACTGATCAGCATACTATTTTTGAAAAATCTATAGGTATTAATCTGGGTATGAATAATTTTTCATCCCACCAAAATGTGTACACAATATACCTATGTATAGGAAAATATATTGTTTATTAAATGCATTTGAAAAGTAGATGATGAATTGGTGAACGTGGAGTGTACAAAGATGAATAGTATTGATTTATACTAAATACAAATTTTTATTTTAGATATAATAGGCACCTAATGTTATAGCCAAAAGTATTTTTATTGACATTTTTATTTACAATGTCTGTAATTATTTGACAAAATGTATATTTGTTTTATGTATGTAAACATATGTGAGCATACTTTTCAAGGCTTAAAAACAATGATGGTTTACAATTGTAATCTATTCTGTTTTTAATAAATGTCATACAATTAATTGTTTAGCCGAAATTGAATTAAACACTTTTGAAGGTCAAAATTTAACTACCGAAATTGATTATCAACGCAGCTTAGATTTCTTAAATTAGTTATAGAACTGATAGTATTTATTTTGTACTTTGATTATAAGCTGAGTACCTGATTAATGGGTATAAAATATTATGCTATTATAAAATATTAACTGGAGTTCCAACTATCATGTAATTTGTAAAATAGATTTAATTGTTTTAGTTATAGTTGAATAAAATAGCTAGTCAATTAACAATTCACTACTTCAAATTTAAGAAGTTCCAAACTTCATAATTATCTAATACCTATCTAATTCGTTTGAAGATATTACTTCTAAATTATTTAATTTTGCTAAAGGTGGTGTAAGTACCTATACATAGAATAAAAATAAAAAATCATTTTGAAATAAATTATTACAGATTGATGAGTGATATAGAAATTGATACCAAGATGTCAGAAAGTGTACAGACTGAAACAATAACAAAGCCTGAAAAAAATGCAGCCGATAGTCCTTCTACAGCAAAAAAGAATAGTATTCTTAGACACCGTAAAGTACCCTCTGCCGATTTAAACAATGTAAGTATATTCCTCATCATTTTTTTAATTGATAAGACAATAGTATTACTAATAACTTAAAAATCGTAATACTGATACATAATTTTTTAATATTTATAAAATGGTTATGTTTAGTTTTAACACTGCTTTGTGGTAAAACAGAGAGATAACCTTTGACTCGAGTAATCAAAAATCACAAATATTAGATGTCTATCTATCTTTAAGCTATCATTAAGCTAATAAAATGGTATATAGTAGTAGATATTTTAATCTTAAATTTGAAAAAAGGTCAATGTATAGTTTTTTTCTATTTTTATAGTAAGCATTAGCTTTTTATCTGTCATATTGTCAGCTTTGATATAGGTACTTCAGTAGTTACTAATTTAAATATTATATCATTAAGTAATACTTAAGTGTATTATATATGTATATAAACCATTTTAAATTTATGAATAAGATGTCTACTAAATAATTGTTTTTTAGCCTGATAAATGGAGAGCATAGGTCCTGCCCCGGCGGCAAGTTTTTTAAAGGAGCTTTCAATTTCACTATATTACTTATCATCAATTTTTATATTATTATAATCACTAAAATGTACCGAAAGTACTTGTCTTATACTAAAATAGGAACAATTATGCCCTAAATAATTTATGTTACTAGCATTAGTAATGCGTATGACAATAATTATTAGTTTATAATTTTTATATTATACATTCAGCAATAATTATAGTATTATGAGAATTATTATTTTAGCTGGTTTTATAGAATATGTAATACTATTATAATTATTTTGATCTATTCATATTATGAATGTTTATGGTATATAATGTATCATTTATATTTTAAATGATGGAAAAATATTTACCTGAATCTGGTGTTGTTGATTTAGATAAGTTATTGTTGAATATTTCTATTTACATTCATTAAACTTTTAAATTTAAATTTAAAAAGATAAATACAATGACTAGAGGAATGAATGAGAAATAAAAAAAATGTCTTGTAATGGACAGTATATTAATTATATTATTCGTTTGATGTTGTAACATATTAATTGGAGCGTGGGGGTGTTAGATTTTTATTTAGATAAATAATGTTCATCTGGTTTGAATTTGAAAAGTTGACTACAGTTGAGTACATTTCATAAAATTGTTTTTACATTAATTTTATAATAACATATTTTACTAATAATAAATAAACATTTTCCATTTAACAAAGTTTTTATACAGCAATAAGTTTTGATAACCAAATTTATTTAATTCTATTTAACAAATTGCTGTACAACAATTTTTTTCTGTTGCCCATTGGATTTTGTTGTATGAAAGTTTCACATTGTGTTTAAATAGTTTGGCAATAAAAGTTTATTCCCTACAATTTTGTTTTTTTTTATTGCTTTATTGTAACAAACGTGTGTATACAATTCTAACAATTATGGGCAATTACAAAAATCAAAAATGTCAAAACGCACATTCTTTCCAATGGCTTTCAACATTATAAAAATTGTGTATCATTAAAATAATCAAAATAATCAAAATAATTAATAACCACAAATGACCTAATTTCATACTTTATTTTATTGTTAAAATATTCTTACAATCAATATTTATACTTTATGTTTCTACCGTATTTTGTTACATATTTATTCATAGACAAATATGTAGGATTCCAAGTAGTACAGCATTAAGAAAAAAAAAATGATATTTATTTTATTTTTACTTATTTTTACTATTTGAATTTGTACACAAATATACCAAAATCGTTTTTAATTTATCACATTGAATAGATGCACTTAACAAAATTTTTTTTTACCTAATGAACTACTAAAAAAGAATAATGATTTGTTTGCATTTTGTATGCTATTTTATGTGTATGTTTTATAGAAATCAGATGAATTAATAGCGGAGAAAACTGATTTATTATCTGGCCCTTCAAATGGAAACAATGATGTAAGGATTTATTTTATACATACAATCACTGGTTTTATTATTATTTTCACAGGGACTTATAATTTTTATTCTTTTAAAATTTACTTCATTTTTCAACTCAATGATGCTTAGTTGTATACAATAATAGCTGAATGATATTGTATTTTTAGGTGACTTGTAGTTTATCCAATGAAACAAATGAAAACATGGATATTGGTACTATGGCTCAAGCAGAGTTTCAACATGTTGCTGCTCAAGCCCGTGATCTTGGCCGGAAAATGTGGAATGTGTGTAATTTCCACAACTTACCTCAATGGCTCCAGGATAATGATTTCTTGCATACAGGACACAGACCACCATTGAATTCATTTCAGGCTTGCTTTCAATCCATTTTTCGAATTCACACTGAAACTGGAAACATATGGACACATTTGTTAGGTAATATATGAATTAATAATTTTATATTTGATGTAATGTAAAAAATAAATATTAATTTTAATTATTTACAGGATGCATTGCATTTTTTGTTATGACTTTATACTTTGCGTCTAGACCTGAAGAAGAATTATCGTTTCAAGATAAATTAGTTTTCATTATCTATTTTATTGGAGCAATTACTTGTATGGGTTTTTCATTTGTGTTTCATACTGTTCATTGTCATTCAGAAACTGTTGGCAAATTTTTCAGCAAGTAAATATATCATTTTGATTATTTTAATGGTAAATTAATTAATTATATTACATTTATTAAGATTGGATTATTGTGGAATTGCGATACTGATTATGGGATCATTTGTGCCATGGTTATACTATGGATTTTATTGTGAGCCATATTCGTGGATGTTGTATTTAGTTTTGATTGTTGCACTGGGACTGGTGGCAATGGTTGTAGCACTATGGGACAAATTCAGTGATCCTGGTCTTAGGCCACTTAGAGCAGGTATACTAATATTACAAATATGCATAATTATATATCAAGCAATAGTTGGTTTTGGCTATTATTAATTATCCTGTACCAAATATATACATACTCTGTTCAGTATGATAAGGAACATATGCCATTACACATTTTTGGCAATCACTGTGAGGTATTCACTAAGGCACCAAGGCGTATTTTAGGAAGATGAGATGTCACATCCAGTGGTGACAAATGTGGTCAGATGGCCTAAGTCCCTTATATATTGAACAGAGTACATTCAGTTATTCTTATAGTAACATATTTTCAAATAATTTAATTAACAGTGTCTTTAATATATTCTTTTAAAAAACTTACTAATTTAAAATTTTTAATTTATTATAAATGATTTTTTTATATTTAACTTATTTATCGATCTCACTTCATATGTTCAATTATTAGTCCTGATTTGGATGAATTTTCATATATTTTTGTTGAGACTATGTATGTGCAATAAGAAATGTTGACTATTTATGTTTAGCACAGAATACTTTGAAAGTATAGTGTAGTGGTAATAGTGCATATAAATGTATATTTTAGGGTAAGAGTATTTTTTGCATATTTAAGATAGAAGTAAGTTTTTATTTTTTTTTGATTTTATTAATGTATATAAAATAAAATCTAAGACAAAGTATAAAAATTGAAGATTATTTGTATGGATATTAAATAAAGCACTTGATAAGTTGCAAGTAATTTGTGGTATGCCTTATTGTTTTATAGTTTAATTTTTTATTATATTTTATCGGTCTCTTGTAGTCATGCTGTACTGAGTGTTTGAAAAAAGAACCGCTTTAACTTATTCTAGTGTTTTTTAACTGTCAAGTTGATACCTATCATCTTGCAATTTAATTTATCTCTTTAAATTTAAACCAAAAATGAATATATTAAGTTTTTAATATTTATTTGAGAAACAGTAGGCTATATTTTGATTTTTGCATACTTCGTGGTTTTTTGATGCATAAATTCATATTATTTTAAACTTTATCATTGCATACAAATCAGGATTTAAGTAAATGCTATTACTTATACAATGTCCTTTACAATTTAACTTATTATGTGGAATCATAAAATGATATATTATTGTTAATTTCTTAAACGATTGTAATTACCATTTTTCTATTTAGTTTTGTTTGTTAATGAAATAATTCCAAGTGAAAGTTTAATATAAATTATATTTGCAGGTGTTTTTACTACATTTGGATTGATTGGTGTTATACCAGCACTTCATTATGGAGCTGTGGAAGGATTCTTTTCTAACTTTACATTGATTAGTCTCGGATGGCTATTACTAATGGGATTTTTATACATTTCTGGTGCTTTGTTGTATGCATTAAGAGTACCAGAAAGATTTTTCCCCGGAAGATGTGATTTATTGGTAAGCATATTCTGTAATTTATTAAATTAATAGTAAAATTAGTAATTTTTTTATACAGCTGGTGAATAGTAAAAACTACTCTCCTTACTATTAACATTGTGATTCATATTAAACTGTTAAAAATATCATAACCTGTACTGAAGGTTATAAGGATCAATTTTTCTTGTGATTTTTCTTAACCTTTGATTTTTAAGAAAGTTTTTATTTTTGTTACTATTAATAAAATACAAATAATTAAAATACTTATCATGTAATAAAAAAATTGACATTTTAAAAAATACCTTTGAAAAAAAACGAATAAAATTGTGCTATAGGTTATAAAATTTTAATTACAACAATGTAATCACATCTCGAATGTACAGAAAACTGTATTCATTATACACCATACATGGAAGACAAAATGTTTTGTCTTATTTCTTCATCCTCTTGAAAAGCTACACCAACAATAAATTGCTGTCTTTGTCTCTCACTCTTTTATATATAAAACAAAGATCAATTTTAAATTATTATATTTATTACATACCATGTATATTAATTTAATTTAAATATATACTTTATATTACTTAGGTTAAGGTTGGTTATTGAGTTGAGAGTTGAGGTTACTAAGTTTGCCAATGAGATTATTTGGCTGACTTAATAAACCCAATGCCAAATAATTTGATTCATTCTGTATCACAATATAATTACTAAGACAATGCTACATGTTATTTTTATATATATTATGATCAATCGTAGTTGGCTTATTTTATATATTGTATGATAAATTATTTTTAATGTTTATGTTTGAAGTCATTTTTTCTAGTATAAAAAAAATGTTGTGATCATTAACTTTGATACAGGTCTCTTGTTTCTAGTTTGTACTTTTGTAAGGTCAAAATAAAAAATAATTGGGAAAAAATGTTTTTAAAAAAGAGGGAAAGTTGGAACCGCCCTGCTATACAGGAGTGTACTCGGTCATTGAGTAAGGACCGTAATAGAAGTGTTAAATTTGAATTCAATGATAAATCATTGTATGAGCCAAGACTAACTTTTTGGTATTGAAGGTTATCAAACAATTTTTTTATAATAAATATTAAAAAACTCAATATTGTGAAATTAATGCATTCATTAATTACACTCAAAACATTTATTCAAATTTTTAACATTGCTATCAAAACAATTGTTTGGTAATTAATCAGTTAAATCTGCCTTCACTCAAAATTGATTTTTCATAAAATACAATGATTTATCATCAAATTCAAATTGAGCTCATTCATTACTGTGCCTACTCAATGACGATGTATGACTTAAACTGTACATCAGAGAGGTTGTATTTTTCCCCATTTTTAAAAATTAACATTGATAATTAATGATTTATTAAATAAAAACTGTTAAATAAAATGAGAAGGGGATTGCAAAAAAAAAAACTGGATGACAAATGATGTAATGAAAGTCACTTTTCCTTAACATGACTATCATAACTACAACATATTATGTTATACTTCTCTAGTCATCTCTTTATATTTATTTCATTTTAAAGAAAGCTAAGTACTAAATAGGCCGTCATACCTTCTGTATTGTCTTCATCTTACTATTGCATAAAATGCCATAATTTACATTCAGAATTTTCAATATTGTGTTTTTTCCTTAATTACTAGAGTGAATTTAACTATTATCAAGCAAGTAATAATATATGTGTATTCTCTTATTCGTTTTATTGATTTTGTTATAATATATTAATTTTTAAGTTAGACATGACTATATAAAATATGAATGTTTAAAAATGCTCATAATATGCTTAAAAATTAAAACATTGTAAAACCCAATAAAGAAAACATAGATAAAATGTGTTTACTTTTAACTTGAAATAATAAATTTTAAAGTAGTTAAATAAATAAGGAACAGAAATTCCTTTTGAATACTATATTTGTATATTTGAGATTAATAAACAAACAAAAATGTTTAAATCATGAAAATCTCAAAATATAGAAAATCCATAATATATATTATTATTAAAATTATAATGTCATGACCCTTTTATCTTTCTTTATAGTTCCAAAGTCACCAGATATTCCATGTACTCGTTATACTCGCAGCATTTGTTCATTACCACGGTATTACAAAAATGGCAGAATACAGGCTGAGCAAAGGTGAATGTGAAGTACGTCCTGCTGTTGTTTAGTACAAGAATTTGGTAGGTGATGGACTTCTTTAAAATTATACAACTGTTAGTTGTCCAATTTAAAGGAGAACCAAGTTTCCATGCTGACACAGAGATGGTTAAAATACAACTATGTTATTTAATTCAGATAAAAATGTATAACTTAAAAACCAAAAGAAAGAAAATCGCATTACAATTTAGTTTTTGTTTTAATGTAGTCATATACTTAAATTATAATTTTGATTACAAAAAAAAATGTGCATATATTTTTACTACTTATACATATGTTTTATAGTATGTATTATTATAAAAGTTCATAGCATACATTTATAAATTCTAGTTAGATTTCATTCATTAATTATATTGACGTTACTATCTTGTACATTATATTATTAGAGATGAGAATAATGTATCAACAACTATTAATACGTCTAAATGTTGTTTGAGCAATGGTATTGGAATAAAAATAATACTTCATCACCCTCCCCAGAAAAGTATTTATTAAAATATTTTTTTAACTTAATTATTTTTATGTATCAATAATGCAGAAATATAAATAACTTTGTTTCATTTTTTTATAATTTGTGACAAAAATATAGATCATTGAATTTTTATATTTAACACTTGGTATTGGAATTCATAGAGCATTTGGTACACCTTTAATATGTATCTTATGAACACTGTAACTAATTTAATGTTAAGCACCACTCATAGTGTTGATTAGATAAAGAGTATTTTCATTTAATGGGTCACTCTGTATGTGTATGTTGCTCGTATTATTGATTAAAACTAGTGAACAAGGAATTTGAATTTGAAAATAATGAAATAATGATTGAAAATCATACCTTAAGTATACTCCAAGTAATTTTTTTATTTGTTATTTTTTTAACGAGTTCTTACAATACTTTCATGTTTTTGGCGATCCTCAACACAATGTCCTGAGACTGCCCATGGTCAAATTACTGTTTTTCTTATGTAGTCATGTTCTTTTTATGATACATTTTGAATTAATTAATTTTTTTTTTATTATTATTTTTTATATGTCAAAGGCAAATAATATATCATTTGATGCAAATTTTTCTCCTCTATGCCATCATAAAAATATATTCATTATTAGTTTATCTCCAATGAAATCCTTCCATTGACAAAAAAAAAAGTTTTTATGACAGCCTGCAGGCATATAGCGTATGCCGTATAAATAATGACAAGTTGTGACCGATGGCATCTGTAAAAATACTCTTATACCCTGATACTGTTTGAACACTGTCCCATTGCAGGCAACGTGTAGTTACTATTCTAAATTACAAAATGAACGTCTTGATAATTGAAAACCAAAGGTGCAATAATAGTGTTTGCTCAAAATTTCATCAAGAGTGTACACTTTTTCTATTTTATTTAAACAAAAAAAGAAAATTAAAAATATAGGTATAAATCAAAATTTTTTAAATTATCGTAAAATATACTTTTGTCATTATTTTGACACTACTGTGGTTTTGAATTTTGCTTGTCTCTCTATATTAGAATGATTATTTTTTTCGTTAGTTGTGTAATAAATAATAATACATATTTTTTTTTGAATTGAGTAATAAAATATTTTTTTTTGTTTGATGTAAATTAAACAAAACCAATGAGTTTATGTAAATTCTAGAAAATAAACTATCACATAGTGTCAACAGCTAAGTTGAAAAATTAAATCAAAATTTAGTTATTAGAACATTACAAATACTAAAAAATGTTAGTGTATTAGTATTTTTCTAAGTAATCTTGACTATTTTTAAGTCTTGCTTAAAAATCAGACTATTATAAAACTAAGTTAAATAATAATATGTACCTATGCAGCTTATGAAATGTTAACTAATAGAAAACTCCACAAATTGTAATAAAGACGACAACGACAACAAAAAGATAATATTGCTGTATTATTGTTAGTTATTACAGTTATAATTTAAATATAATATATTATATAACTGTATAAGTGTTTAAATAATTCACTTGTGGAATATCACTGTGCCTATCAGGATTATAGATTATCTATAATTGTGCTTTCTATACATCAGTTATAATTTATATTCAGTAATAATACGGAATCTATATTTATTGTTATAAACTAGTTTTTGAAACAAGAATTGTAACCGTGTTGTTTTTATTTACTTTTTTTAACAGTTGTTTCAGTTTAAATGATAATATTACAAACCATGAATCTCTAATCATTTTACCCAATTTGATCAGTAATTTTTTTTTTTATGTATACTTCTTACTGTGTTAAATATTAGTATTTTTCAACTTTAATTTTTTTTTAATAGCATATGATTTTATCATCATATTCCTAAGAATAATATATTTCTGAGGTTTTTGATACACTTATTATAGAAATCAAATTTTGAACTAGTAGCTTATAACTTTAATGCATTTTAATTTTGAAGTTTTTCTGGTCGAGTGTGTACATGAATTTTGCATGGGTTAGGACCCACTACTCATTTTAATTTTAAACACTATATTAAGTCTTAAATATTTAACTGTTGGTTCAAAGTTCTTAGAAAAATATTCTGCTTAGGACTTAATCTAAATATATTGTACGTTGTCGTTAAAAATGTAAAAGTAAATGTTTTGTAATAAATTCATAGTTACACATATAGTTATAACTTATAAGATATACATACACCACATGTTGTACAATTAAGATTTTCTTGAAAATCATCTATTAATTATCATCATTATTAAAGGAAGGAAATATGTTGTTTGTAATACGGATGGGGTGATATTTTTAAAGTATAATAATCTCATAATATTATCATAGTGAAAAGAACGACGACTTTAGATTATCGATGTATTCAAATTTGAATATTTATATTATAATGTATTATGTTGTATGTATGTAGCGTGTGTATTTTGAAGCGCTGTATAAATCACAATTGTGATGTAATAATGTAATTATGTTGAGTCTATAATATAATATAATACGTTATCGCTGTGATAATATTTTACGATTAAAATAAAACATGTACCTACTATTATAGATTATATTATACATATTATAATATTTTACCGTACTCTCAATGACTGTTTTAGTCGGCGCTTATAATTAAAGAATATATTCTCTCGTTTAAAGTACATAATAATAAATAATTATCAATATTATGTAGAATTACATTTTTTTTGTTTCGTTTTTGCTCAAATAAAAACAATTAATTTCTGAAAAAAATACGAAAAATTTAGCGACCTTATTCTTGCATTTGGATCGACATTAGTAATATTGCCATATTGAGGTCTTCTCTTGTGTTTGACCTTTGACTGCTAAGCTGCTGAGTGCAGATGCTCTTCAACACTTGTCACCTCAGTGAGCAGTGAGCGTTTTGGTGAATTTAACATCCGCACGTGACGTTTGTGGGAAGAAAATACACTTCAACTATACAGATGGACATTTGTATATTTTATATTGTTACTTTTTTGTTGTAATTTTTCTTTTATTGTAGTCACATACTCACATCGATGTTGGGAATATTGGTTATTAAACGATGATAAATGATAATAATTCTTAATTACCTATATCAGATATTTCACGATTATTAAAATTTATGAATACCTACCTAATAATAATGAATACCTGCGAGACTATGATATATTAATATATTATATACCTATATTATATTGCAGAAATTTAGGTTATAGAAACATGTAGGTATGTTGGAATATACAATAAAATAAATACAGCATACAAGCTTAAAAAACAACTTAACCATTTGCAAAACTGATTTGGATTTAAGGGAACAAAAATTAACACAATTAATAAGTCCGTACTTACTGCCCATCACTTCGTTGCCCAATAAAAATCAAAAATAACATAATTTCCCATGATAATGTTGTCCAAAATGTTGGTATTAAACATTAACCAAACTTGAAATATTTATTTTTGATGTATTTTTTAATGTAGTTTAAACTATACTATTTATACTTTTCTGATATCTCTGAAAACAATCTATAAGATTTTTATTAAAATCAATCGAGTAGCTTTCATATACCTACCAATATGCCTATCTGAGATAAAAACATAAATTTAGTTGTAAGATATAATTTCTAACCAAACGCAACGATTTGATCCATGGTTTTACCTCGTCTGCCCGAATAACCAATGGCAGCAACCGTTAGTATACAAAAAAATTTCTCGTGAAACTCAAAATCCATGTTTGACTTCTTTAAAATACGAATTATTTTGGAAAATTGTTTCTTATAGTAGGTCCTTATATCATCGGACAACATTTCATACTCATAGTTTCAGCGGTTTCAGCTAGCTATTACAAGTTATTTTATATGCATAGCCATTTAGGTAGGTATAAGGTTATTATAGTTTATACATCACCGTATAAGTATTATACTTAATACTATAATAGTCATACCTTGCTGACTTACAAGCTAAAGAAACTACAGGTACCTCCGGTTTCGAATTATGTCCTTACATATCTGACCAAGACTTTCGAAATTCAATTAAATTCAAGCACATGGATGAACGGCAAGACATTTGGACAAATTGTAACAATAATAAGCTCAGAGAAATAAAACAAATAATATTACCTTGGCCCAAACCGTACGAGATGTCCAGAAGGGACGAGGTAATTATTGTCCGCCTACGAAAGGCCACACCCGCACGACACGGATGCCTCATGGTCAAAGAAGGCCCACCCTCATGCCCTACGTGCGTAATACTCTTTACGGTCAAGCACATACTCCTCGAATGTCGCCACTTACCAAGTTCAATGAAATTCTTATCAAACTGGAACTACCGGAGACGTTATATGAGATACTTGCACCCACTTCCGAGACGTCTAAAAAATTAATCAATTTCATCAACGAAACAGAACTGTGTCATCTCATTTAAAATTTTTAGGTACTTCAGAAAACAATGTACAAATATAAATATATTTAGTAATAATTAAGTTATTTTGTGCAGTTTAATCTAATGTAAATTTCTAAAAATCAGTTCACCGCGGTCAGCGTAGCAATACACATCGGTGTAATCTGCTCCGCGCCATGCGTACGCTATTCGATGCAATTCGCAACCGATTTTACTCTAACTTAGTTCAAAATCTTAAGGAAATTAATTCTCAAATTTACATACAACTCTCATTTTAATCGGCCGTAAGTGCAATCCTTTACGGTCAAATAAGTGTTTTAACTAATTAGATCGACTATTTATCATCGCAAGGTAATCAATAATTCGACCGATTAGTTATCAAGCGCCGGTTCCAGGTACCGTACCCATACGTGACCTTGGTCCCGCAGATAAGCTCGCGGCACAATGCCGGCCAAAAATATCCCGCTTACCAAAAACCCGTCTTCCTCACGTAACAGTATACAGAGCGGCTCAAATGATGAAGAGAATTCATCATTAAAAATTGTCATAACTAAAAACACGCAGAACAATCCAAACGATAGCCCAGATTGGATAATTAAAACCGGAAAACGTCATAATTCCCCAGGCATTTCTCCTACATCAAAAGGAACCAATACCAAACAAAACAAATTTACATACACTACTCACAACCGCTACGAAGTACTCAACATCTCAGATAATGAAACGGAAAAAAACACTGAAAAGGAGGGTGAAAACGAAAATATGCAAACCGAAAACACCATACTGCCTCCAACTACTCCACCAATATTTATCACCACACCAGTCAACTATCAAAATTTTTGCAACCAAATAAAAACCTTAATCGGCGACGAAGAATTCCTATGCAAAACCACAACCAAAAATCTCAAATTAACACTAAAATCGTCTCAATCCTTTCGTCAAGTAATCAAATTACTAAACGACAATTCTGTGGAATACTTTACTTACCAAGCGAAGGAAGAGAAATCATATCGAGTAGTTATTGTTATTAATCCGGCACCAAATAACCCAGAAATATTTAAGCTAAGGACTATTTGCCACTCAATAGTCAAGATCGAAGAACCTCATTCCAGACGTGACATACCTCAATGCCACCGATGTCAAAATTACGGACACACGCGTACCTACTGCAATCGCCAACCAAGGTGTGTCCGCTGTGGCCAAGCCCACCTTACCGACATGTGCGAAAAATCCAAGGATCTACCGGCTACCTGCGCTATATGTGGGAAAGACCATCCTGCCAACTACAGAGGTTGCGCTGTACACAAAGGACTCCAAAGATCCAGAAACACGAAGGACGCTAGTAAGGACCCATCCATTCCAACCATCTCCAGCCAACCAGACAACAACGAACAACACACTCAACAAAACAACTCAAAGGGTAAGCCCCCCAGCAATGTCACCTTTCCTCGTACTTATTCAGACACAGTCAAGTCATCCAGCCCATCTAATCCTCAAAAAGGGGAGCCTAATGAAACCCCACTTTCCACCCAACTCTCATCTTTCCTCGAAAATTTTCAATCCCTTATCACACCCTTAATAAATCTACTCACGACTCTTATAAATAAAATTTTAATCAATAATGAAAATTAACTCAAACGCAAACCATCCATTAACCAATTTCTCCTGGAACGCCAACGGCCTCAGAAAACACTTAGACGAATTACAGCACATCCTAACTAACACAAATACCGACATTGCCCTAATCTCTGAAACACACTTTACTTCTACCTCATGCGCCAAAATACATGGCTTTAATTCATACTACTCATGCCACCCTGACGGTACTGCTCACGCCGGTTCGGCAATTTACATCAAATCAAGCATACCCCATCACCCACTACCTTCCTACATCTCTCCTCACATACAAGCAAGTAGCGTCTCAATCGTTACTCATAATAACATACCTATTACTGTATCTGCAATTTATTGTCCTCCCGGTCTCATCACCACTATTGATCATTTCTCTGAATACTTCTCTACACTGGGACATCGCTTCGTCTCAGGAGGCGATTTTAACGCGAAAAACACAACATGGGGGAATCGCACTCCCAACACCAGAGGCAGAGCATTACAGTGCTGCATAAACAATAATAACTCTTCTTCCTTAGCTCCTCCTGGACCAACCTATTGGCCCTCTCACAACAACAGACTACCCGATATTTTAGATATCTTTGTTATGAAATTACCAAGTAATATACTCAGTGACCTTACCAACCTCTACGACTTGACCTCCGATCACACCCCAATAATTCTCAAACTAGGTTTAAACGTCCCTCCATGCCAAAATGAAACTCTCACCCCCGGTCAAACAGATTGGTCTACCTTCAAAAACATTTTAAATAAAGACATAAAACTCAACATTTCCTTAAAATCAATCGATGAAATCAACAACGCTATTAATCACCTCACAACATCCATACAAAAAGCCGAAATAGCAGCTGCAAAACCCCAAGCAAATAAAAAAACAAAAAACCAAACTCCCCCCCATATACAAGCTCTACTTACTGAGAAACGTAGAACTAGGGCACACTGGCAAAACTTTAGATATCCCAACGACAAGACCAAACTCAACAAACTAAATATCCAAATAAAAAAGGAAATCCAAAAGTACAAAAGTCAATCTTACAACACTTATGTAGAATCTTTAACCACTAAAAATATGTCTCTGTGGAAAGCAACTAAAAACATATTACGAATAAACCAACCCACCCCTCCTCTTAGAAAAGAAGACAATTCATGGGCTATTACCGACACGGATAAAACTAATATCCTAGCTCAGCACCTAAAAAACTGCTTCTGTCCTCATGATATTCAACCCAGTCCCACTCAACTGGAAATAGTTGAAAACTTCCTCGAATCTCCTCTCCCAATGTATCTGCCTGCCAAAGCCACATCCCCCGAAGAAATAAACAATGTAATAAAAAAAATCCCCATCAAAAAATCCCCATGTAATGACCTAATTACCAACTTTATAGTCAAAAACCTACCTCGCAAAGTCATAATTTATTTATCCCATTTATTTAATGCACTGTTTAGATATTATCATACTTTCCTGGGGCCTGGAAACACTCTATCATAATTCTTATCCTCAAACCAAACAAACCACCTGAAAATCCAGAATCATACAGACCCATTAGCCTTCTTCCCACCATATCAAAAATTTTTGAAAAAATTTTATTAAAAAGGCTCCTCTCCATCGCCACCAATGCTAATATCATCCCACACACTCAATTTGGGTTCAGAGCCCATCATTCAACCATTCACCAACTACACCGCACCGTCGATCACATCTCCAGAGCTCTGGAAAAAAAAGAATTCTGCCCCACCGTTTTTCTCGACGTCTCTCAGGCCTTTGACCGGGTCTGGCACGACGGACTACTCTACAAATTAAAAAAGTTCCTTCCAGCCCCGTATTTCCTACTATTAAAATCCTACCTTTCAGACCGTTTCTTCACTGTTCGTCTTAAAAACAGCTACTCAGTATGTCACCCTATTAAAGCAGGCGTCCCACAAGGAAGCGACATCGCCCCTTTCCTATACTCTGTTTTCACCCATGATATCCCAAAGACTCATTACACATTCATTGGCACATACGCTGACGATACCCTAATCTCGGCGTCACATCGCGATCCAGAAATTGCTAGCTCAAGGATCCAAAATCACCTCAATATGATCAACTTATGGGCAAACCGTTGGAAAATAAAAATAAACGAAACCAAATCAACTCACGTAACATTCACTTTACGAAACTCTGTCTGCCCCCCAGTTATGCTCAACAACAATGTCCTTCCAACAGCAAATGAAGTTAAGTACTTAGGGCTCACATTTGACAAACGTCTTACGTGGGGCCCTCACCTGAAACTAAAGCGTAAACAAGTCAACTCCAGGCTGCACCTCCTTAGACCTCTTTTAAAATCCAAACTATCCCTAACAAACAAGGTGACAATATATAAAGCGATAATCCGTCCGGCCTGGCTCTATGGCATTCAGGTATGGGGGTCCTCAAAGCCTTCAAACACTAGAACACTTCAAGCATTTCAATCAATATGCTTACGCCTAATCACCTCCTCCCCCTGGTACGTAACAAATAAAAATCTCCACAAAGATTTAAAACTACCCACTCTTAACGAATTGGCCAAATCCCACTATACCAAATTCTTTTCTAAACTACACACTCATTATAATCCTTTAATCCAAAAATTATCCTCTGCAACACATGTCCCTAAAAGACTAAAAAGGCTGTGGCCCCGAGACTTGCTCAAAGCATAAAATTAAAATGTTACGAGTCATAATATGACCTAACCAAACAATAACTTAATGTAATCTCTGGTCAGGTGACACTACTGAGGGTCTTCCTATTCGAATATTTCATAATGTCATATAAACTTTGTCATCATACTTACTGATTATTGTAAAATAGATTGTAAATATATGTTAAAAAAAAAAAAATAAATAAATAAAAAAAAAAATAAAAAAAAAAATTTCTTCTTTTTCCAATGTAAAAAAAAAAAAAAAAATGTAACGCAGGCTAATAACCTTGTAAAAAAAAAAAAAAAAATGTAACGCAGGCTAATAACCTTGTATTGTCGATGACTAACAATTTAAAAAAAAAAAATTGTCATACCGAGCCACCGAGGTGGTCGAATTTCAGACCCTTTGGGTGAAGTATTATTATTATTAATTTATAGAATGCAGGTAATACATTAATACCTATGCAATTATAGGTATCTACAATAAGCTCGATTAATTATTTTAAACGGTAACCTATTTCTATATAATCTTGTCGTTTACGGACTTTTAGCGAAATCAATTATGTAGGTAGTTATATAATTACCTAATACCTATACAGAATACCTTAACTGCTTACACTTAGGTATAGGTAATACATGTGTTTAGGCTATACGATAGAGATAATATTGACTATTGTAATGACTAACGAATTTTATTCTCTTTTCGGTCCTCGTGAACGAGAGAAAATTTGTTCCAACTGACAAGGAAAGTCGGTCCTTTAAAGTTTTATTATTATATAGGTACCTATATATCTAGCCATGGGCTACGGGTATACCGAAAATTCTTTAGGCGTTTACCTCTGCATGGGCTTAACTACTATAGCATTTAGTGGATACAAGGGTTATTGAGACCTATTACATAATTGTCAAAAATAAATGTAAGCAATAAAATAAGTATTAATGTTTTCATTCTACAGTAAGCTTAATTTTTTTTAAGTATACCTTCTCTTGAAATCTATATTTATGGAAGCGAATACCTACTTGTTTAATAATTATATCAATTATATGAATCATGATTCATAATCATTAATCTTATTATTTTTCTAAGTTTAATAGGCAGTAGGTTACATCATATACCTAGTATGGATGGATAGTTCAATTATTATCAGTAATATTTTTTAAAATTATTTTTCAAACATTCGTATAATTTTAAGCACATTAGTCATTAGTAACAAGCCTCTGTGTTAGATGAAGAAACTGCAAAGACTACTTACTGAAAAGAAATGTCACATTAAAATATTGTTAATTAGACCTAAACGAGTCCTAATAATATTATATTGACTTGATTTTTACACCGATAGTAATTTTTATAACATATTTTATTAAGTGTCAACTTTGGATCCTTAAAGGAACATTTGTAAATTATTATTTAAAAAAAAATCTCACTGTAAATGAAGAAAATATTTCGTATTTAAAAATATAATAAAATGTACCATAATATTGGTTTCAAAAAAATATATTGATTGTTTTTGTTTTTATATGATTTAGCAATTAGGTGGCTAGTTGCTTAAATGCATAAGTACAAAACCACTCATAATAAAGTAAAATCAAGGGATATCATGGCTGATTAGTGATTACGTATATACTCGTATATATGTATATATTTTATGTATAATATATTTTATATTATGTTTATTTTATAAGCTAATTAATTGCTTTATTGGAACAGTAAAATTTAGTATTTCTAATAGTTCTATTATAATTTATAATTGTATGATAAATGATAATATTATAATAATAAATTCTTAAAACTAGTCAAAGTTTAAAAGTAATTATTAATTAAAATAGTATTATTTATTTTAATTGGTCTATTTATTAGGTATACATTGCTTACATACTATAGTTGATAATTATACAAATAATGTGTGAAAAAAATAGTCTACTTTACTATACTTTCTATATTCCTACTTAAAATTGTTTAAACATTAAAAAGATTAAATTTTTTTTTCTCTTAATTTTTTAAAAATAATTTATACCTTATAAAATTATAAACATTACACCAACTTTACAGCAATTTTAAAAATAATACTGACGGGGTCAAATCTTTTAAATAATTTTAGTATAGGATTCAGTTTTGTCCTTAAATATTACAAATATTTCTGTGAGTATCAATAAAGTTAAGAGGGGGGCTTGGGTCCCTAAGTCCCATCAAAAGATGCGGTTTTCGTTCTGTAGGTTGTGGTTGTCCAAATATGTATTAATTATTAAACACTGAACTTATAACAAAGTTTTTTTTGGAAAAACCTGATTTGAATGCACAAGGAAGGGGTGCTAAGTTTCCACCCCTTACATCTCAAATTT